ATTATAGCCTAGATTATTGGGTTTGCAAATCTAAAGAGGAAGTGGGGTGGCATGGTGGGTAATTTTTCACCCAATAGTCTAGAAAAAGCTCACCTAAATGAGCTTATCAGATTATAATAAGCTGGGCTCCAGATTATAATAAGCTACTTCAATAAGTTGTCTGTTTCTTTCAGCTTACTTCTAATAATCTGGATTATGATAATCCCAAGCTGAAAAAAACAGGGCCTAATTACCACCTGGTGCTACATGCTATGAGCTTTGTCGCGTCTCGCGGGTGATGTTTAATTCTGGTCATCGTGTGTGAGATCCGGCGACAACGAGCGACTAAATTAAATTAAGTATTCTTTTAGTGCCTGATTAACAGAGTTCTAACTCCAACTCTATCAGCTTTTAAATCTCTCAATCAAACGGTGTGAACTAGACTGACCTGAGCAAATAAAAAACAGGAGTGGACACTTGTAGGAAAACCCTATAGGAGTGCACCAGCTGGTGCCAAAAAACTGAAAAAAATATATATTTTTATTAGGCACATATAAAAGGTCACACTTTACATCCCACAACTCACATGATTGTTTTAACACATATTCATGGGCATGTGCCAAAGCAACATTCAAATCTAAGACCTCTCTTCATTCAAAGTCTCTTCTCGTCATCTTACTTAAGAACACCTTTTGTCTTATAAGCAAATGCTATTTTTTAGATTACTATCATCTAAAAGTTATAATCCATATTTAATATAATAGATGAGTTCAAATGGAATTTTTGTCAACTACAAAATTGTAATTTTGTAGATTGCATCTCGATATACAACTTTCATATAGATTTTGTCTCCATCTGAGATTGTTTATAAGTTCTAAAAATTCACTTATCCAAATAGATTTAAGACCTTATAACACATTTTCGGACATCCAAACGACCTCAAATCAAAAGTTAATCAACTACAAAATTGCTCTACAAATTTGATATAATGTTTATCTTTATCCAACTTTATATAGAATATTTAGATAAAAACACACACATATTAATGATATCATCATAGGTGCCGGTTTTTATTAACAATCGGCATATATGTGATGACCATATGTATCGTTCACAATAAAAAAAAGGCACCAGTTCGGTTTATTATAATAAACCGGCACCTACAACTTGGGGGACTACTGGTATAGGTTTTCTTATGAATCAATGCCAATGAGTGGTTATATGTGTCCGTTCTTAATTTTATTCTAATAAAAGATGAAAAAAATAATTTAGGTAAATCGGTATCCATAAGATTGATCTCTATACGATGTTTTGTAGTTTTTATAGTGGAAACAGGGTTTGGACACACTCATCCGTGATAGGCTTTATCCTTATCTTTGTCGGGCCTTAACACTGGACCCGCCACGAATGACCCTCACCGGTAATGGGGCTTTATTGTGGCCAGTTACCGATGACCTTAACGGGCATCAACATGACGGGCCCTACCTAGGGACTACTGGGGACTAAGATTCTACCGCTCTCAGGTTATATTTGATGAGGCTTTTTGCGGCCCAACAAAGATAACTATCTTTGTGACATGCCGCTTGCCTCAATCATGGATAGCCCGATTGGGATATATAGTCGGTTCTGTACTAGTGCACACACTTCGGTCTTAAAATTAGATTTAGGAGTTCAAACTGTGCCATGCTTAGGCCCTCTTTGTTTGGGCTTATAAGCCAATTTATAAGTCGAAAAGTCTAAGCCTAAACAAACAAGCAGCTTTTCCGTTTGGCTTTTTTGAAGCCACAAGCCACTCTAACACTATTAAGCCAAAAGCTAGGTTGGAGAAGCTTTTTTGGCTTATGTGAGGTAGATGTATGACTCAACCACTAAACTTAGGACATTAAATCCATTGGCTTATAAATCATATAAGCCAATAAGCTGACTTAAAAGTCTAGACCAATAAGCCTAAGCCTAAACAAAGAGCGCCTTAGTCTTGGACTCACGGTACATAGAGAGTTAAAAAGCTCGGTATATATGCAAGTTTGTTTTGAGAGTCGATAAGTTAATTATTAAATTTATTTCGGTATATATGCAAGTTTGTTTTGAGAGTCTCAAAGTAATTAATTAAGAGTTTCAAACGAATTTATTAAGATCTCAAAGTAATTAAGTTTGTTTTTGTCAAAGTCAAACTGATAAAGATCGACTCTCAAACTGATAAGTTACCAAATTAGTTTTATTAAATTAATAATTAATTATATTTTTATAATAAATTTATTTTGGATCGAAAATATTACTATCTTTTTTATAAACTTGGTAAAACTTAAAACAGTTTGACTACGATCAAAGTCAAAACATATTATAACATGAAACGAAGGGAGTAGTGCTACCGGATGTGACATATGTCATATGACATATATATTAGATATACTGTTTAAATTTATAATAATAGAATATGTCACATGTATTAGGTATGGCGAGACGCACATTGAAAGGTCACGCGTATACTCTGCGACGATGTGTTCTTGCTGATCAGTGTAAGAACTGGAACACACATTTTGACCGGTTGCTGCTGCAGCGAACAACACGTGAAATGCTGTACTTACTCTAGTAGAGTAGTACTCCCTCGGTAAAAAAAAAAAGACAAACACTGCGTTTCCGTGTATAACGTTTGACTGTCGTCTTGTATGAAATTTTTTTATAATTAGTATTTTCATTGTTGTTAGATAATAAAATATGATTAATACTTTATGCGTAACTTATCTTTTTAAATTTTTTCATAATTTTTTTAAATAAGACGGACGGTTAAACGTTGGATACGAAAACTCAGGGTTTATTTTTTTTTTTTTTTGCCGGAGGGAGGAGAGGAGTAGTACAATTCACCAGGGAGAGATACTGTAGTAGAGTACAGTATCATACAGGCAGATGACAGTTTCATTCGTCTTGGCTTGTACGGCTGGAGTAGGAGACGAATACGATAGAGTGTGTGTATTTTGTCAGTGAAGTGAGATTGGACGACACTTGGGACTAGACGAGCCAATTAAGCTAATTATGCATTCAGGAGATTTGGGCCGGGACGACTCCATCCATCTTCGAGTTGTCGATGTCTGTAATTTGGATATGCTTCAAAATTACTAAGAGAGATTAAAAGCTATGATTATTGTTACCGCCCAGATTGATGTCCCAACAACGAGAAACAAAATGCTATAATTATAGTGTCTTGAGTTAAGTCACTGTTAAAGCGCATCTGGTGTAGTGGTATCATAGTACCCTCCCACGGTACTGACCGGGGTTCGATTCCCCGGATGCGCACTCGCACTTATTTTTTATTTTCGTTTTGTTCGTTAATTACAGTATACTTATTTTTTTATTTTCTTTTTGTTCGTTAATTACAGTATTTTTTTTTTATGCAGGCAGCCCTGTGAGTCTGTGACGCACAGGCGTTTCACAAACGGTTCTCCAATTAGTTTTAACCAGAGTCACCCATGTGCTATTACTTTAGAAGTTTTGGTTGATATTAATCCATTGAGCAAGTAGGGGAAATATTCTTATCATCATCTATGCTTCAAATAAAATTTTCTCTTAAATTACTCATTCAATTTACAATCCGATTACACTGTTGTGTTCGTAACAATTAAATATTTACAACAAGATCTCACATGATTATATTTTGATGAAAAATCACAAATTACTTTTATGATATGTCTAATTTACATATATTATAGAAGTAACTTAGAACAAAACGAAAGTAACTTTAGCAACGGATTTACTTCAAATGACATGCTAAAGTTACCTTTGTTTTGTTCTAAGTTACTTCTATAATATATATAAATTACTTTTAGCCTTTACTGAATTTACTTTTATATGTCTAAGAAATAACTTAATGAAATCTAAAAGTAATTTAGACATATCATAAAAGTAATTTGTGATTTTTCATCAAAATATAATCATGTGAGATCTTATTGTAAAGATTTAATTGTTACGAACACAACGGTGTAATCGGATCGTAGATCAGATAAGTAGTTTAAGAGAAAATTGTATTTGAAATATAGCTGGATGGTGCCTCTTATAGATGGAGTGGTAGCTGGTTTAGACAAATCAGCTACCACTAGCTACGTAGTTACGTCCTTTCAGAAAGTATGAAGCAGGGATATAAAAACGATTCGGATAGTTTCTGTGATCCCGATGTTTTTTCAGAAATAGATTGTGTCAATTGGGTATTTTCTAAATAGTTTATGAAGCAGAAATTAATTTGGATTTTTTTTCAGAAACAGAAAACAACCGGAAACTATCCGGATAATTTTCGAATAGTTATACGGAAACAAAAATCTAGCACACTTATCTTCAATTTTAGGCCCACATCTTTAACCCAACATGTTTATCAAATATTTTTTATTGTATTCCTTTTTGCAAGAAAAATATTTTTATTTTAGAAACATAATAATGTTTAGCTACTATCATATTTGCTAGTTCCAAACTACACACTAATATTCGGTACTATTATTAATATTATAAACATTATAATATTAATATTAATAGTAAATAAATTGTTTTTTAATGGAATAGCTTTTTTTTAAAAAAAAAGACTATATCAATTACATTTGATAATTACTAATTTTAGAATTAAATAAATAACATTCAAAATTGAGATTAGAACATCATATTCACATTTATATAGTAGAATTTTTTGTTTCAGGAAGAACGTCAGAACGGCTCTGCTGCAGCAAATTGTTCTGGAGATTCTGAATTTCTGATGCCTGAACCCTGAACCTGAACCTGAACTGAATTCAAGGAGGCACTGATCTCGCTTCTTTGTCTGACCAAAAGGCAAAGCTGATTCTTTGAGGAGTTTAGTTAGCATCAAACGACTGAACACAATCGGTGAAAGCTGAAGCAAAAGACGAAGAAATGTTGCTCCTGTTTCTATCAAAGCAAAATGGAGAAGAAAATAATGACAAATATACGAAGTTTGAAGTGACGGGTGCATGCGTTGTTTACTGACGATCCACCAACGTATTGGCATCAGAAATGCAAAAGCAGGATGGAACCGCAGCATCTGAAAACCAAGTTCCCATGCATGTTTAGATCATGTTATGTAGTGGCATACATACAAGTGGAATTTCACCAAGAACACACTCTAAGCAGCCATTTCCCCTTAAATACACCCGTTGGAGCAAGACCAATATCATCGATGACAATACAATTTTATTCAGTCCGCTTCCAACCTTAAATTGTATTTTTCTTCCTAATTCAAGATAGAGCTTCGAGAAGGGAAGCAACAAAATGCATCTGGACCTCCTCATCGATCGTCAAGAACAGGGGCACATGTACAAACAGAGATTTGATGCCGTGTTGCTCTGCAAACCGAAGAGAGTGATAATACACATAGTTGCATACGAACCGACCAGCATCGTCTGATGGCATTACATCATAGCCTGTCTTCCGGAGTGACTTGGTTAACTCATTTACCGGAAGGGTAGTCTGCTCATTCATGAGGAGTTCAGAAGAACATGATTAGTCTCAAGATTCACAATGCTCTCAATCCAAGACATGAAATATCTGATGATTGAAGCTGCATTCATTCAATATAATGTGGATATTAACTATCCATGCTTGCGTTACTGTGCAGGCAACAAACTGAACTTACATTCGTTTCTTTTATGATAAGTTTGTAAACAGAAAAGATGGGTGTTCTGAACATCTGGTGAAAAGAACAGGGGGGGGTATCTGTGATTTATTTCTGTATAAAAGTTTGTACTTTGCTGTAATCAGGCAATCACAGATTACCATTGTTCTTTTGAATTTACAGCTAACTGATTTTGTTTGATGGAAAGAAAAATGAACAAAAGAAATATTCAATAGTGCTTCTGAAACTCGCCCTTGTGGCTCTAAGGTAGTAACAAGGTAACTGTGAAGAAAGTGAATTTATTGCAGCAGACTTAACAATCTTTGGTGTTCTACTTTGCAAAGTAAGTGAATTTATTGCAGCAGACTTAACAATCTTTGGTGTTCTACTTTGCAATTTGTTTTTTTTTCTTTCAATGGGAGGGAGTCTTGTGGGCTCATAGCCATAGAATTATGTGGAAACTAAAAAAGAAACAAGTAATTGTGCTGTTTGTAGCTATACTTCAAACATCATTAATTTTCAGATGAAAGTTTTAACATATACCTCTCTTGTGCGTGAGATTCCTCCATCAGATGGCACAATGGGAGCCCTCTGCATGGAACCATCAAACCGGTAAAACACAGTGTCGATATATATAGACAGAGAGGAGTAAATGGATGAACCCGCAACCTGAGGTTTCCACCCTAGCTCATCTGGACAACGGAAGGTGGCTTCATTAACAGCTTGATTCTCAAGAGCAAACCTTGTTGCACCACTATTGACTCCAAAGTGGATCTGAACATTTTTCGAATGATAATTAATTCAACTGTCTGAGTGGCATTGAAGGCAAATAGTTATTTTTCAGACAGGAGAGCATTGCAATATGCAAGGTGCCGACTGCATTACAGCAGTATCTGATGTGGAATCAAGAAAGGTGGATACTAACCCAAATTACTTGCCCCTGAGCCGATGACCCATTCTCCCTTTCCGCAATGGAAGATTCCAAAACCTTATATAATGTGCCAAGTGCCCCCTGCCCTGCAGTTTCAAGAACTGTGCAGCTTCCAAGCACAAGGTTTTTTGGCAATCCTTTCTTTTCCACGAATGATTTAAGATTGGTCACAATTTTCTCAGTTGGGTTCTCAGCAACCCCATGAAACTTCTTAAATCCAGTCACATGTACAGTAACAACTGAAGGTCCTTCTGAACCCATTTACACTTTTGAGAAATAACAAATAGCCTTATCCCAAAATCCTGAACTGAACAAAGATCAACAAATGGATTAGTAAGACATAAACTACACCAGACAAAAAGCAGGATGTGAACACCAAATTTTTTTCATGAGTACGTAAAAGGCTTGCGTGTCATTGAGGATGTACAACTTGTTAAAAATCTTAAGCATCAGGCAAGCAGAAGAAACTATAGCAGACAGTTTCATCTGCCCCAAGGATAGGGGTCCAAGCATTACAACATGAAGAAAAGTTAACAACAGGGCACACAAAAATCTGTAACACTGTAACAGTAGAAAATGTCAGATCCCTGAACAAATTTAAACAAGAACCATATGATTTTTCTTATCTGCACAGATGTTGTATTAAGAACCACAATCTCATTGTTTCTTTCAAAAAGAAAGGCAATAATTGTTCTAAAGATTTTATTAAGCAGTGAACAACTCACCAAACAATAGAATCTCACAGAATGCAAAAAAAACAACTAGTTACTGACTTACTGTAACCTAATAATGCTGGGGTTCAACCGACGAGAACGTTATCCAAGTTCAACACTAACTACACATAGGCACCAAAGTACAAAAGTCTGAAAGCCATAGCACATATCAGATGCCTATCGTCTCTGCAAAGGCAAGCCTGACCAGTGACCACAAAATCAAGAGCATAAATGTCTTCCAAACGGTGAAGCTCCAACCTCAGAAGAAACTAAACAAGCAGTTGCTAGTTGCTACCTTGCCATCTAGCATTGCCACAACCAATTCGGAACTGAACCATCGGCTGCTCTCCTATACCTGCCGTTCTTGAACAGATCACTGAAATCACTTCATCTCGCAGGCGTAATTGCACTGAAACTGTATACAAAACACACATTTTTACAGGGGCAGACCTACTCCCATTTGTTCCCAAATAGTCAATTCTTTCTCTCTTTTTTTCCCCTTTTGGGAACAAACTAAAATGCGATTAGTACTAGGGAGGGTTTAAGGCAAAAATTGAGAGACAAACAGCTTCCAGATCTAGAAAGAGAAGCTAGTAAGGCTAACGCAAATTCGAGAAAAAAAAAAGAGTGTGGGATGGCGCGTGGCGGACGGAGATGCTCACCACAGCGGACAGCGAAGCGAGGGCGCCGGCGGGGCGGAAGCAAGCAAGCGAGCAAGCAGCAGACGCCGGCGGCCGCTGGTCGCGCTCGTCGCGCGCGGGACGGAGACGACGAGTCCAAAGCTCGCGCCGCCGCAATGGAGACGAGACGACTCGGTTTTTCTTTTTCTTTTCTTTTTTTTTCTTTTCTTTTTCAGGAATCAAAGAGAGTCAGGGTGGAGCTGCACAATAAAAATGCGGATAATGCCTGATGGAATATGTGCAGGTTATTGCAATCCACTGTCTACTCCATCTCAAATAAACAAAAACTAGAATATATTTTTTTGACCAGATTCGTTATGTGCTCATATTTTATGTTTATTTATTTTGGGATAGAGGTAGTACTCATGAGTGTGGACCGTCATCTCATTGTTTAATCCACGATTAATAAGTTGATAAAAATATTAAGAAAGCAAACTAAAAATAATTTATAGATAAAATGTTATGCTTAGCGATTTACTTAAAAAACAACGTAGTAGGAGAAAAATTTGTTATACTGCATCTGTAGTAGCTACTGCTGGCATGTGAGATCGGATTCACTTGTCAGCCACTGCTACTGCAGAGGATCTATATCCGATAATAATTAGCTTCAAACTAAAGAAACCCTATATTCTCACGGAACCACGCACTGCAGCTACCGCATTACTCCCTCCAAAAAAAAAACAACTAGACTTAGGTAAGGATGGGGCATGTTCAAATTCGTTGTTCTAGATTACGTCCCATCCTTATTCAGGTTGGCTTTTTTTTTAACAAAAGGAGCGTACTCTACCCTGATCATTAGAATCTAAAATTGGGCGAGATCGATGTTTGTGTAGATAGAGTACTCCATAGATTCACTTGGGCAGACCGTACATGGAGCAGAGGGCGGAACAGGCTAGAGTCTACATCCCATAATCACACCTTCTTCCTACTTCCTCCGTCCCATATTAAGTACTCCCATATTTTTAAATCTCTTCATTTGTCCCAAATAAGTTCGTTTATAGAGTAATCATTACATTGGAGTTTGTAAAAGTATGTAATAATTATATTAGAAGTAGATAAAGTGATAAATAGTTGCATTGAGATTTGCTAAAGTAGAGATACTCTAATCTTTTTACTTTTGTATTGGCATGTGTTCCATGGATAAAAAAATAAATTTATTTTGGGATGGCTATTGTCATGAACCCCAATGCAATGATTGTTAGAAATAAAATTATTTTAGGAAAAATAAAATAGTGTAAAAATAATCTTATTTTAGCTATTGAAAAGGTTTTTCTTAATTTGTAGTATCTTTTTTTAAAGAAAAAAAAGGGGGTTTTCCAAAAGCTTTAGGCCTGGGACTGAGCCAGGAGGTATGGTGCACACGAGGCACTGCAGCTTGCCATCACGACCACTGATGACCACTTGACTCAGTCATGTCTATGGCTCTCACTCTCATGCTCAAGCTACACTATTACTACACGAGTCAAAAGCGACGCTACCCTGCCAAGGTAATGTTAGTTTCTCGGTGTCTCTTCCACCAATTCACAATCACCTCAACGTGTTTCTCTGCTTGTAACTCTGATAGCCTCTTGCCCTTTAAAACATCATCCCCATCGTTTCGTCCATAGTTTGTTTAGCGAAAAAATATTTATGGATAAAACTTCTCTACATGTGTTCTTAATGACTCAAAGTTCAATGATGAAAAATAAACTTTGATAAAAAAAATAAAAATCAATTTTTAAATTTTATTTTTTAAAAAACACGGTACAAATGCAAGCGCTCACGAGACACGCACATTCATCCTTGTGGACGCACACACGCACACCATATTCTTATGAACACCTTCGGAAAACTCAGCCGGCATATCTTGAAGTTGATGAAGTAAACACAAACAACTCTATAGACATGAACATCATTTATAAAAAAAAATAATTAACTGTAAATACGAGCACCACATCGAGTTTAGGATTTAAATTTATGTGGATTGGTTTAAGAAAAAAATAACTAATTGAGCTATACTCACCTAGCTTTAAAAATTGACCGTGGCTAACAAGTTTTGAGCAAACAATGAGCTCTGTTTTTTCGCTAGGCGAGAGCCTTATGACATGATGATACTGTCCGAGTTACTCATGCCCATGTATATTCTCAACATGATGTCTGAATAAAGTAGTGAGAGCATCCAAGCGAGAGGTCTGAAAAACCGGAAAGCCATGGTAACTTTTCGGTGCCGACATATAAAATTACTCGTCAAGCCCTGATCGATGCATCTCGCTAAAAAAATATGCTTGTTAAGCTAGATCCTAAGCAATGTGCAAATTACTTTATGCATAGACTAAACTTTATCACTACACTTGTTGTTACTCCCAGTATATATACATGGAGAGACAGCTGGTTCACAATGAGGACAGCACAAGAAATCAACAATGCAACATCATTTTGCTCGTTTTTTGTCTGCATGTGCGCATTGGGTTTCCTTTTATTTTTGTGTTTGTGTTGCATCTATGTAGGGCTAGCTTGATCACCCCGGTACTATAGGACACGTTTCAGGTAGTTTATTGACCGGATTATTCACTTTATTGTAGGACTAATTAAATAATTAAAAACCAAATTTAACAAATAGCATTAAAACAAGTGATTTAAGCAAATATAGTAGAAAAGGTTTATTTAAAAATGTAATTTGAGGAGCGGGAAGCAAATAATTTGTAAAAATAATCTAGTAAAATAGACGGATAAAACAGGGCAAACACGCTAGTTTCCGATTGGACGAAACAAGATCAGAGCTTGTACTGATACATACGAACTTTTCACTACATTGCAGATAGATTGCCATTCTCTGTTGAAAAACACTGAGGATTTGCTTGGTTACCATTCCCTCAATTCTAAAATAAAAACATTGCCCACATGGCCACATCCCTATATAAAATGTAATAGTGAAGAGTGTTGGTTAGAAATATTAAAAAGATCAAATTTCTCGATTTGTAAATCAAGAGTATGGACTTGTTTAGTTCCAAACTTTTTCTTCAAACTCCCAACTTTTCCATCACATCAAAACTTTCCTACACAAACAAACTTCCAACTTTTCCGTAACATCGTTCCAATTTCAATCAAACTTCTAAATTTGACGTGAACTAAACACAGCCTAGTCCCTTTGTCCCAAAAAAAAGATAAACCCTGGTTTCCGTGCCCAACGTTTGACCGTTCGTCTTATTTGAAAAAATTATGAAAAAAAAACAAAAAGATAAGTTACGCATAAAATATTAATCATGTTTTATCATCTAACAACAATGAAAATACGAATTATAAAAAAATTTCATATAAGACAAACAGTCAAAGTTGGACACGGAAATCCAGAGTTCGTCTTTTTTTTTTTTACGGAGGTAGTATGTAAAAGAGTAGTAGTATGTAAGAGGATAAAAATCAATTCACTTTAGAATAAATTCCGAGCTAAAGTGGTTTCAGCTAGGGTTGTCCAGACTGCACAATATTCATCCGGCTGCCACTGCTGCAAGGTTTCTTTTCAGTTCACGAATTATTACTACATTTTTTTCCTTTGGAAATCTTCATTACAGTTGTGTTTAGTTTACGCTAAAATTGAAAGTTTGGTTGAAATTGAAACGATGTGACGAAAAAATTGGAAGTTTGTGTGTAGAAAAATTTTGATGTGATGAAAAAATTAAAAGTTCGTAGAAAAAGTTTGGAACTAGACTCGGCCTACATTCGCTAATTTTCAAGACGAGGGAAAGAGAAAAAAAAACTGAGTCGCTTACATTATTGATTGACATCGAGCCGCGTACAGCTACAGGATCGGGCCAAAATAGTCGTCGTGCAAATCCAAACCGTGCTCGACAGTCGACACACGAGGCAGAACATATGGCATCTTTGTCAACAGACAGGACATGAACTTTTGTCAATTGTTATACTGTAGTAAAAAGAGAGAGAATCTCTGTCAATTGTTAAGAGACCAATGTCTAGTCCCATCGATCGCATTAAAGAAAGGGTTTAGTGGCAAAGCCTACTCCAACCAACACATGCTACGGAATTGATATGCGAGTCTTTAACAAAACAAAGAAAATTTGGTCTCTGCCCGTGCGCCACTTGGGAAGCCAAACGAGGGCGTTGTCACTTCTTCCATTCCTGATTTGAGTCTAAATTCATCCATATATTTCAAGTTTTTTTAAGAGCAGGTAGAATAGCAGGCTCTATTAGCTAACTACAAACATATTTTAATAAGATAAACGATGAGAGAGAAGAGCAGCGGGCTACAGATTTGTAGCCAGCTGCAGCACAGACTTCAAGACGTAATGTGTGTATGACAGGTGAGACCATATATTAATATTATAGTAAGCAACTATTGTATGAATTAGCTATTAGATTGACTATATATGAATTGGAGTTACTAGTGGGCTATACTATTGAACTTGCTCTAAGGGAGTATCAGGTATAAAAACAATGGGACGGTCTATGTGCCACCAGACTAAAAATAGTCTGAAAATCAGTTAATTCTTTTTGCCATCGAATTGCAAATGGGCCGTAGATATTTTTTATGTATAAAACTGAGAGAAATTGGAGCGATTTCTCATAGCTAAGTGGCATCATGCAAATTTCTCATAATTAAGTGGTATCATGTAAAAACCAGATCCACCCCCTACAGCTATGCATTGGCCGCACAATTCCTCCACCCGCACCCAAACCTGAACCATGGATTTGCAACATAAGTCACCCAAATTGATCGGTCTAGAAGGTATTCCCTCCGTATTGTATGATGCCATTGACTTTTCGACCAACGTTTAATCATTCGTTTTATTCAAAATTTTTGTACAAATATGAAAATATTTATGTCATGCGTAAAAAACATTTGATGATGAATCATGTCACAACAAAATAAATGATAGTTACATAAATTTTTTTAATAAGACGAATGGTCAAATATTAGAAAAAAAATCAATAACGTTATACACAAAGGTAGTATAAGTGAGCATACACAAAGGAGTCAAGCACATCGAGCCAAACCTCGTGTAGTCCAGTCCCTCTCCGGTGCTTTCTACTCGGAGTAGAAATTAATATGGGCCATTGGTCGTATTTAATTGTAGGGCTGAGATCTAATTCTACTCCCACCAGTATTAGTGGAAGTAGAAATATGGAAGGGTGTTTTCGTCAAGAGAAAAAAAATCTCGTAGGGGTATTATCGTATTTTTTCGGTCTCTTAC